TGGGGCAATAGCTCCCCAACTCCTGGGGTGAGGGAAAGAGAGAGCCAGGCTGGAATTCCTGATCACACACCTGACCTAGCACCTGGACCCAGCAACCCATCCCCTCTCTTGGAAAAGAGACTTCTCTTGCTGCCCATTAATATTAGTCCTTAGATTTAGCGCTAGATGTCTGTACTGCAATGTTGAAGGGTCAGGTTTCAAATAACTCAGATGATTCATGAACAAGGGGAGGGTTGATACTCACACCTAATCAAATTTGTTTCTATCTTTCTCTTTACAAAAATTTACATCTCGGGATGGGGTGGGGGTCATTTTTGTTTCTAATATAAATTTGGATAGTGAAAAGGGTCAAAAATGGAAATTGTAAATGAAGAACGAAAATCATCCCAGAGAACATTATGCTACTTTTACTGGGGAAATTGCAGGTGTACCATGGAAATGTAAAATTTTAATACATTGAAAAATCTCCATTTCCATACAGTGCATGAAACTGAGCTAATGAAATAATTATGGGTAATTAGCAAATCAGCAAAGGGAAAATGTACTGTAGATGGCATTGCCTTTTATAAATATCCATTGCAATCATTAATGACCTCTTTAAATGGATTTCCTTTGTAAATCCCTCAAGGGAATGTCACCAAAGAGTTTACAGTTGGTAGCCCACTTATCTTGCTCCTTGCAGAACCCTTTTGCATAAAACCAAAGAAATAACACTGGCATCTGCCCTGTGCTTTATCGTTTCGGTAAAAGTTTAGTTCTTCTTTGAGTGATGTATTCCACTCGAGGTGCGCATGAGCTCCATGTGCTGGAGACCAGAAGATTTTTCTCTAGCAATGTCAGTTGGTCTGTGCTTGCACCCCCTATGCTGAGGGCATAAGGGGCAGTACGGACTGACTGCCTCTCCAGTTCCTTTCTGCTGCCCCTGGTCTGAGATGAACCTCTTCAATGTTCACAGCTTTAACTAGTGTTCTTGTTCACCGGGGGAAGGAGACCAAAGCCCTGAGGTAAGTGGGGAAATGGGATACCGGGAGGAAGCACAAGCAGGAGAGTGTAAGAGGGGAGGACTCCTGTCTCAGACTGAGAAAGCGGGACAATCAGCGAGTTATCTTAAGTGCCTATACACAAATGCAAGAAGCCTGGGAAACAAGCAGGGAGAACTGGAAGTCCTGGCACAGTCAAGGAACTATGATGTGATTGGAATAACAGAGACTTGGTGGGATAACTCACATGACTGGAGTACTGTCATGGATAGATATAAACTGTTCAGGAAGGACAGGCAGGGCAGAAAAGGTGTGGGAGTTGCATTGTATGTAAGAGAGGAGCATGACTGCTCAGAGCTCCGGTATGAAACTGCAGAAAAACCTGAGAGTCTCTGGATTAAGTTTAGAAGTGTGAGCAACAAGGGTGATGTCATGGTGGGAGTCTGCTATAGACCACCAGACCAGGGGGATGAGGTGGACGAGGCTTTCTTCCAACAACTAGCAGAAGTTACAAGATCGCAGGCTCGCAGCCCCCCCCCCAGGACCCCTGCCTCATCCAACCACCCCTTCCCCCGTCCCCTGACTGCCCCCCACAGCCCCACCTCTCCTTCCTGACTGCCCCCCGGAACCCCTGCCCCCATTCAACCCTCCTGTTCCCCACCCTATCACCGCCTTGACCCCATCCACCCCCCGACCACCCCCCAAACTCCCCTGCTCTCTATCCAACTCCCCCACCCCGCTCCCTGGCCCCTTACCATGCTGCCTGGCGCACCGGTGGCTGGCGGCGCTACAGCCATACCACTGCACAGCACAGAGCACTGGGTCAGGCCCAGCGGCACAGTGAGCTGAGGCTGCGGGGGAGGAAGGACAGCAGGGGTGGGGCTGGGGGCCATGGGACCCTCCTCCCAGGCCAGGAGCTCAGGGGCCAGGCAGGAGGGTCCCATGGGCTGGATGTGGCTCGCAGGCTGTAGTTTGCCCACCTCTGCCCTAGGATCAGCCAACAGATCTGTTCTTTTGGTGATGAGTTTTCCTTACCAAAGAACTTTCTAAACCTGATTTGTAGGTCACAGAATTATTGTAGAAGATGTTTCAACCAGCTTTTACTCCTGGGAAAATTCTGTGCAACTGTGCATGCGCAGAATTTATGTCCCCTGCAGATTTCTTTGCTTCCCCGCAGAAAAATGACTTTCTGATGGGGAAGCAAAGGAAGCCACAAAAGCAGTCATGCAACCCTCCCTAGGAGTAAGTTTCTGGTCCTAGGGCAGCCAGCAGAGAGGTAAATCACTGTGGGGCAGGAGGCAGGACTGGGGAAGACCTGGCTGCTGGCTCCTACCCTGCTCCAGGCTCATCTTCTAGTCCCAGATGGGCTGGGAAGGACGGGACTGCCTCTTCCCCTGCATGGCATCCGGGGCCAGTTCAGACCCACCCTCATATTTCTCCCCCAGCTGCAGGAAGCTCGGCAAACTCCACCCCTCCCCCATTTCCTGCACCCATCGCACCTCAGCTGGAGGTGAAGGGATCCCTCTACAGGGAGCTGCTCCCCCATCCACCCAACCCCTTGTGCATCCAGACCTCCTCATACCCAGACCCTCCCGCTAAGCCTCACCTCCCCCGTACTCAGAATGCCTCACTCCCCTGCACCTGGACCACCGCAATGAGCCACTCACACCCGGATCCCCACCCCACCAAGCCCCAACCAGCTGCACCTGGATCCCCACTTCCCCAGCATCTGGACCCTCCTACTGAGCCCCCCGCACCCAGACCCCCTACTGAGATCCAACCACCTTCACCTGGACCCTCCTGCAGAGTCCCATTACTGTTAAACCCAGAATCTCCCAACAAGCCTTTGTGCATTCAGATTCCCCCCACACCTGGATCCACCACTGAGCCGTCTGCACCCAGATTGCCCTTCACAGAACCCTCTCAACCCACACCTGGATCTCTCCACACGAAGTCCCTCCACATTTGGATCCTGCCTTGCTGAGCTTGCCTGCCCATACCTGGCACAGAGGGGCAGGGCCCTGGGATGTTTCTGGGGCAGGCCTGGTCCTTGCGCTGTTGGGTGCAGCCTCACCACTGAGTACGTGTCCCGGGGGGAGCTGCACAGTGAACTCCCATCTTTGTGCAGCCAATGGCCTGTGCTCCCCAATGCCATGCTGGAGCTGCCACATTTATTTGACAAATAAAATTTGCAGAATTTTGCAGAATATTAAAATATTGTGAGCAGAATTTTTAATTTTTGGCACAGAATGCCTTCAGGAGTAACCTTTGTATAATCATCATGTGATGTTTACTAGTCCGAGGTCTACAGCTGCTTCACCACTTAGGTCTTCACTTGGGAGGCTAGATCCTACAGCCACCATTGAAGTCACTGTGGGGAGTTCTTCAAATGAAGCAGCTGCATGATGGACCCTTGAATAGCTGGTAGTGTTGCACACTTCTAGTGGTCTATCACTAGAAGCTTGTCTTGATAATGACATAAGCTTGTCTTGTCAAATGTCTACTCCTTATTTGATAATTTATGTATGTATTTAGTTTAGTTCAACTCGGACACAATATCTAGTTTTCCGTGGCGTCTTCCTCTTTACTCTGTTTTGCAGCTGAGTTGACCGAGGCAATAGCAAATCAAATGGTTTGCCTGAGATCACTCAGTTAATGTGCTGAATTTGAACCCAGGACCTTATTGGTGCTCATCTTCCCACAGCTTTTACCATCACCATTAATCAACTTAGCCTTTGTCAAACTAAAATTTAAGTACCCACATAAGTACCTTCAGCTGTAAGAGCCACTTGATTAAAATACACGTTTAAGAATTTACTCAGATTAAAATTAAAGCTACTTATTCGTTGCTGGAAAAGAAAAATACAGGAAGGTATTCATTGGTCCCTCTTGATGGAGAACTCTTCTTCCCACTAGGAAAAATGTTTAGACAGTTCACAATTCATTTCATTCACAAAAAGTTTGAATAATTAGGCCAACCCATGGGGAAGCAGCACAGCCCATCCGTTGTCCTTACTTTGGCCTCTGCATTCCTGGACACAAGTGATTGACACAGGCCAGAGCCTAAGCTTGTTATTGTTCTCTAATGGTATGCACATAGTTTCTGGTTTTCACTGAGAGTGAACTCAACTAGCAAACAATTTCTATTAATCAATTAATAGAAATATAAATACATGCAAGATATTGTGGCTGTATGTTATTTTTTAATTTTAAAATCAGTGTAAATGGATATGCAGAGTTAGGGGTTGTGGCCCTGAGAGTCTTGGGAAGTTCCAAATGTGGCCCATTGAGTCCTATCAAGTTGCCTACATGGCCCTCGGTCTCTCAGCGTTTTAGGTAATCTGCAATAGATTACTGACACACCATTATTCTAAAATGACCTTGATAGTCTGGGACATGCCATGTCTTTCAATGAGCCATAATTACAAGCAGTGGACAGCACTTAGCTATCAATCCTTTGATTTAAATGGGAGGGACCTGGGTGCTATCTGTAGAGAGACATCAGTTTTTGTAATCCCTTGTTCTGAATTAACTCAAACATAACTTTCCCTGCTTGTTGTAAGAACCACCTATACACCTATTGGATATAATGGTGATGGGTGCAAATGCCTATACAGATCTGTTCTCCATGTTTTGGGAGGAGGGATGAGTGCTAGGGTATTGTTTTTGCTCCCATTCACTGTCATTCAGCTGGTTGGTTTTTTTTAATTTGAGTATGGTTTGATCCAGGTTGAGTCAGCTGTTGTAATTTTTAAGAGTTTTGTATGATTGTATATTTTAAATTATGTCCAAACAAAGCTAGTGTTTTAAGGATAGGTGTATTTGCTTAAAACATAAATAATGGATAAATAAAAATAAAATATAAATAATAAATACATAACACAGCTAATTTATCTACATGTGCTGGCACACTATCAGATATAGCACACTCTATGGAGTGGAAAACATACTTTGGCCTCTCTCTTCACTTTCTGTGCTGTGCTGACAGTCAGCTAATGAGGTCATTTTGTCTGTGTGTAGATGAGGTCTTGTCTGAAAACTTTCTGGACTACAAGAACCGTGGGGTCAATGGCTCTCACCGTGGTCAGATTATCTGGAAGATTGATGCCAGCTCTTACTTCGTAGAGCGTAAGTACTTTTTCATGCTACTACAGTGCAATTCAGTGAATGTGGAAAGAAGTGAGCTGTTTTAGGCTGTGCCCATGGTCTGTATGTCCTTCAGGAAATTTCAAGCATGATACATTTATATAGGGGTGGCCAAATATTCTGACCCTCCAAGCACATGTGACAATCTCAGAAGTTGGAGAGCCAGAGCACGCCTGCTGGGGCTCGGGTCTTCTGCCCCACTCCTGCTGAAGCCCTGAGTCCCAGCAGGTGCACCCTGCCAGGTTGGAGCCCCAAGACCCCTCTCCCCACTGGTCAGAAGCCCCTACCCTACCACCCTGCTGAAAGGCAGAGGTCCCAAGCAGGCTGATTCCCCCGATTCCCTGGAATTGGGCCCCGTGGGTAAGAGGGCCCCGCGTCTTAGGCTCACCCGGCGGCGGTCCGCTCCGGTGGCATTTCAGCGATGGGGCGGGGGTCCGCTCTGGGGTCTTCGGTGGCGGGGGGTCCTTCAGTGCCGCGGAAGACGCGGAGCGGACCAACCGCCGCTGGCTATTCCAATCGGGCCCCGAAGCTCCTAAAGCCGGCCCTGGTCCCAAGCTTCCACACCAAGTCTGGTAGGCGGAGAATGCGGGGGCGGGGGGGGGAGGAGTTCCACAAGCTGCACTTTAACTGTAAAAAAAACGCATGTGGCTCGCGAGCCACGGTTTGGCCACCCCTGCATTTATACATTAGGATGATCCAAAATGCTTTATGGAGTGGTGAACAACGGTGCCTACTACGTCATGAATACTGTGGATATTGACTGATTCAAACTATTTTCAGGCTGATATAATTAAGCATTAAAGTCCATTTGGCATCATATAGTATGAGTTATACCATCAGTTAGGATTTACATCAACGTGTTGTGAAAGACACCCCAGTGGGCCTAATTTTAAATTGTTTAATCAATCCTCATTTTAAAAAAACCAACTCATTGACTTCATGAGTTGACTGGAGGACTTTACGTGTTGCTCACTGCCTCCAGACTGCTCTTTTGCTAGTTTTACACTGATGCAACTACACTGACGTCAACTGAATTACTCCTGATTTACATCTATGCAACTGAGATCTGAATCTGGCCCAGGGAATCTAAAATAATAGCTAACAGGTTTTTGAGTCCCCTGAGCATGTAAGTCACACAAACTTTACACACGGGTAGAGTAGTGTAGATATAAAGGAATCTACATTGGCATAATGGAGTCTAAGGGCTTGAACCTGCTCCCACTGAAGTCAATAGCACAACTTCCACTGAACTCAGTGGTGTGGAGTAGGGCATAAGAGAGTGTAGAAGAGTCTAACATACATCAATTTACATGTCACCTCTGATTTTTTTCCAATAATCTCCCTTATACTGTTTGGCCAAATTCAGAGATGATATGCACGGAGGTGTAAGTGGGTATCAATCTAAGGTTGACTGGGTTTAAGGCAGTCTAGGGGACTCAGACTCCGGTGGTATAATTTACATATGAAGGGGGCTGGAAGAGATGTATAAGTTAGCCATCTTAGACTCATCCCTGAATTTGACCTAAATATCTGACACCAGCAGGAATTTATTCTGCCACCTGCGGGTGTTCTGCGGGTATTCATAGTGTTACAGGTGGGTTGATCAGAGTTCTCTTGAAATGTGAGGCTGCAGGCCATGTTCTGTAGTGCCAAGTGGTAAGTTGACCAACAGATGGCTGTCTCAAAGAATTGAAGGGGTACTGCTGATATTTCAGTTTTATAATCTTTTATGTTTATAAAAAATGCAGCTGAGGGCAGTTACAGCAGCCTGACTGTGATGTGGTGACAGTGGATGTTACTATTAAGATTTTAATGCTTCTAATTTCTGAGAGGAAATATACTGTAGTATAATCCAAAGGTTCTTAATTGAAACTGCTTCCTTGTGCTACAGCTACTAAGCTGTGAAGCTGAAACATTGTTTTCTTTAAATGGTAAAACAGAGTTAGGGAACAAGAGACTTAATTTCCCAAGACCTGCACTTGGAGAGGTTCAGCCCATCATGAAGGAGATGCCTCCAGTCTCTTGGGAGGAGAAGGCAGTGGAACTGAGCTAGAAGTATCTTCCCCATGTGATCCATAATGTGAAACTAAATAACTGGCGGTGGGCTCAATCCTGGTTTGGCTGAGGTCAATGGGAATTTTGCCATTGATGTCAGCAGCTCCTGGATTTCACCGGATGCATTCCCCTACCCACTCATATAGGACAAGTCATTATCCTGCCTACCAATATCCAGAGGAAAAGGGAGATAAATACATAAGGGGCAGTACATAATAGTACATGATGATATTGGTAACCAAACTTGCTTAACCACTGAGGTATGAATTTAAAGTAGAGATACATGTTGTGTGTATGTGTAGAGATATACACATATCTACATTATATTTAAGGGATACTGCTCTTTATTGAGGATATATGGAGGCTTTGTGGTTGCTTAAGTGAAGCTACAGTGTTTGACAGTCTCCTGTATTTGATAATCGAAGAAGCCATTGTAAGCCATTGGCTTACAGTTTTTAAGTTCTTTAGGGCAGGGATCTTACCTTATTTTATGTTTGTACAGCATGTAGCACATTGTGGTGTGTTCTACTGAAAACAAATAATAATATTAATTTAACAGAGTAGCAGTATCAGAGAGATCTGTTTTATTATTTTTGCCATGCATTAAAGGACTTTTTAAGTTCATTTGTCCTTTTAAAAACTGGGGAGAAGGAGGAGAGGGAGAGAGAGCACAATGATATAGCAAGTCACTTACAAAGTCCCCATTTTTAAAATATATTCTGTTCATTTTGCACTTCCCTTACATTTGATGCTGGTTTGGAGTCTTTATTTTAGTAATAGCAGTAACTTGTAACCCATATTAGCTCAGCTACAAAATCATCCTTTCATTTCTGCTTTTGCTAGTTTTTGTGCTTGCATTTATTTGTATATAATTACTTTTTAAGAAGCCTGTTGACCCAACTGTGATACAAAATATGCAAACTTATAGATAATACAGTACTACAGAACAGAGACAGCCAGTGCTGCCTGTCAAATTGCCAGGAACAAAAACAAAATGTAACCAAATGCTAAATAAAATGCTAACCATTGTACCTAAAACACTGCTAAGGCATTAAACAGAATAGAAAGCGGGGCTCCATTTCTGGTAAAGGTTACACTAGTTCACTTGCAGTGGTCTGGGAGTTGAAGTAGGACCATGGAATGACAAAATTGATGGTTAAAAAACACTGTACACTTTAGCAAAAAACACTGAACCATATTTCCAGATCACCTCTGTAGGTGGTGTAAATCTCCAGACAGATACAGCTGATGATGACCATAATCATTGGCAAAGAAGATAGCCTGAAATGGATAATTTTTCACTGTGGTCATAAGAAACACTAATAGAGGGATTTGGTGCTATTGAGTTTTAAAGTTATGGGTATTGTAGATATATTTGTAAAAGTATACAGGAAAGGAGGGCATGGGAAGGAATGGAAACCATTTTTCACAGAAATTACACTATACATCTTTACCAAATTCCACAGATTTCAATCATTTCAGCTATTTTTACATTGTTTAATCTGTGGTTCCCTGATATTCTGAGCATCATCTGCTTGGTCTGAGTTACCAAGGGCTAAGTGAACAGATAACTTTTAAATTGCACTAAAGGCAATAGAATTATTTATGTGCTATGATTCTATGACAGCACAGAATAGCTCTCTCTCCTTCAGTGGTACAAGTTTCAGCACTCGTAGGGCAGGCGTTTAACATATATCCTTCTTTTGAATCAGCTGATAGCCAGGTTTAGTACAACTGAGACAATCTTGACATCTGGGGGAAAACAAAAAGCATAATTTGCAGTGATCCGAATGGGTACAGAACTATTTTTGGACAGGCTACTGTGATGCCCAGAGATGCCCTCCTTTCTCGTTCCATTTGATGGACAAAATTTTAAAAAAATTAAAAAACCCCAAACCTATCAAATCAATACTAGTAACAGAAAAAAAGGTTTAGTTTTTTTTTAAGCTTAGAAAAAAGCTTCAGATTAACTGTGCAGAGATACAGCATGCAGCAATTTAGAGCAATCAGCCATCTCTCCCATGGCTGCTTAGTTCAGGCCAGGACAGAGAGACCGAGAGAGAGAGAGATCCTGTGTAGTATCACTACCATACGAAGCACAGGTTGTGTCAGTTTAGGACCCCAAAAGCACTACAGAGTCAAGTCTTTGATTTGTGGTTTCAACAATCCCTTTTGTATTCATTACAACCAATTAGTAGTTATTAATTATTTGCATTTATAGTAGCACTGAAAGGCCCGAATTGAGATCAGGGCCCCATTGTGCTAGACGCTGTGCAGACACATGGCAAAAAACAGACCCTGTCCTGAAGAGTTTGCAGTCTAAATAGACAAATCATAGGCTGGGAGAGAACAAGTCCTCTTACACATCTTACATATAGGGAACTGAGGCCTATATGTAAGTGTTTAAGTGACGTATTCAAGATCACTGAGGGAAGACTGTGGCAGAGCCAGGAATTGCACCTAGGACTCCTGAGTTCCAATCCACTACCTTAACCTTCTTCTCAACCAAGTTTGTCTTTTTTCTATCAGCAGAGACAGTACAATAAACAATCAATCAGCATCTTTATTACCCTTTTGTTATCTTTAATCCTCTGTTTCCCATTTACTCTGTTTCTATCCCAGTATATTATGTATAACTGTGGCTAATTCTGTACAGTAAGCTGAGTGCATTCATATTACACACACACACACACACACAACATCACACATTTCTATAGCCATTTGTAGTTTATATTTATTCACAGCTAAAAAAAACGATTAATTCAGTTTCCTAGAGAACTTTGTGTCTTTGCACTTTTTATGGATCACAAACTTACAATATAATGTTGAAAGATAGATATGCAATTGGTGTGAGCCTTAGAGAGTTTGCTTCCAAATAACACCATATATACAAGACAGAACTGAACTCATATCCTACTAGTACTCAGAAAATAAAGAGTATTAATCGATGCACAGGCATTGTCACACTACAGCCGGTTTTGCATTTCTGCAGCAGACTGGCAATTTGGTTTTTATGACATCCAGTGATAAACAGTAACTGACCACAATAAATATGAAATGGCTGTTCTTGGAGGTTTTGTGTACCACTAGGGAAGCATACTTTCTCTGTGTTGCAGCTTGGAGGGCACTGCAGTGAAATAACCAACCTATAATGAGTTTTCCAGGAAAGGAAGCAAGCTTTACTTCATTAGAATTTCTGGCACATTTTTTGGCCTATACAGCAATACTCGGAGTGAGAGACCATTTGTTCGAGGTGTAATGCTGCATCTTCCCATAAACAGTACATCAAGTTAGCACATCTCTAAAATGAGGGGAACTTTGACGCAGTTCAAATTTCACTATCTTTAGCATAGTACTGAATGTGCAGTTGTCTTGTTTGAATGGGTTACTTTTGTTGCCACAGGTTTAGTAATGACAAGGCAGGAGACGCACTTCTTGCAGATATCAGAGATAACAGAGTTTTCTGTACCACCGTTGAGCATGGAAAAATAGCAGAAGACTTACAGTCTGAAG